TATTGTTTTCTTTCGCGCCTCTATTTTGGTGAAAGTTGCTCATCTTCGGTGAATGATTCTCTCCGAGGGCTAAAGTCCTAAAATGCCCCCTCAAACGCTGTGCAACTGACCGAGAGGCGTCGGGTACGCCACACATGCAAGCTGACGTACCTGCAAGTTCAGGATGGCACGCGAAATAACTTACTGTTTTGATACCAGAATTCGAAGTCAAGGTATGCCAGGTGCATTGAAGCAGTCTGCAATGCTTCTAAGAGAGAGAGAGAGAGAGAGAGAGAGAGAGAAAGATGCAAGGAAATGCAGGGAGGTTAACCAGACGCGCATCCGGTTTGCTACCCCTCACTGGGGAAGGGACAAAGGGGAGAAAAGAGATAAGAAGGTACACACAATCACGAGCACACTCGGGGGAGCATACACAGTCTACAGGCGGTCGCTCAGGTTTGTTGACTTTAAGTAAAGTATACGAGTGCTTCAGTCGCTTTCTGCGCAACTGAGGCAGATGCCCAAGGTCCCAGAATTTTCAAAGATAACTTTCGCCACTCATTAGGGATACTAAGTTGTATAGAAAGCAGGGAGTTGACGACCCCTCCTTCCCCACCTTTCTGGCATAAATCACATCTGCATCTACAGTTACGTCCAGTCTCACGTAAATTTCAATACGTTAACAACTTCATGTGTTCTGGCATACATTATAATTGAGCGTTACGCCACAAAATGCCGCTAGTCATCAGTGATTACACGTTTTGTGGCACGTGTGTAAATGAGGATCGAGCCGTGCACAAATGGAAAACCTGTGTTTGTTACAAGTCTAATTATTGAATTCAGTTGGTAGCTTTCAAACGCGCTATAATGTTGTCACATAGATTTGGGTGCATGTTAAAGAACCTCAAGTGGTCGAAATTTCCGGAGCCCTCCACTATGGCGTCTCTCATAATCGTGTGGTGGTTTCGGGACGTTAAGCCCCACATATCAATCTATCAGTCAATAATGTTGTCACAGCTTTATTTTTATTAATATAACCATACCCAAGGCATCTACTTCCGATTTGGCGACCTAAGTTTCTGGTTTTGTTAAATCTGTTATGAATTCGCTTCCAATTGGGCAAAGCGTTGTCATAACACGTGTGTGGAGTGCTCCGCTTCCGGTGGGGAGAGAGAGAGAGAGAGAGAGAGAGAGAGAGAGAGAGAGAGAGAGAGAGAGAGAGAGAGAGAGAGAGAGAGAGAGAGAGAAAACTTTATTTGCGCGTGCATAACGCGGAGCATTCCAAATGGTCGGGTCCCTATTCCAGGGCTCCGCTGGCCCTAGCCATCATCTCTACTCGTTGGACCAGCCCGCGCTGATCAACAATGGCCGAGCTGGACAGCAGCGCCTCCCATTGTTCCTCTGTGTTGTTCATGTTGTGGTGTTTTTCATTGTGATGCGTACACTCCCACGTGATGTGAAACAGAGTTGGTGTGGCCCCACACCACGGACATATATCTTTGTATGCTGTGGGGTAGAATACATGCAGCCTGTGTAAGTTCGTGTATGTGTTTGTTTGGATTTTGCGTAATGCCACCGTTTCCATTGCTGTGAGTTTCTTGTGCGGTGCTGGATACACTTTTCTATTGTCCTTGTAATACTGAAGAATTGCACCAAAGTTAGGGTCTAGGGGCGTTGGATCCTCTATTGGAGTGTGCAAGGAAGCTCGGTAATTTGTGAAGCTCCGGTGGGGAGGGGGGGGGGGAGGTTTGTCGCAGTGCTTCCTCTCCCTATTAAGTGAACGTAAGCGGCAGACTTGGCGCCCCCCCTCCCTCCTATATGACCGGAGATCTGCGTCCCCTGCCTCCCCCCCCCCCCTTTCGTGAGCAGGGGAAGGGGAGTCATCCAGAAATACTTATGTCGACCACAGAGATAGCAGCAAATCTATAGGTACTTTCGCAATTTCGCTTGGCGTGATAAATACGATAATAATAAAATTTGGAGGCTTTCCGTGCCACGACCGCGACATGATTATCACATACGCCGTAGTGGAGTGCACCGGAAAATTTCGACCAACTGCGGTTGACCATACAGCTAACCGAACTTTGTGAGACAATACACGTGGGGAAAGCGTGAAATAACTATTTATGTTATAAATAACGCTCAAGTAATGTCAAACGTTGAGAAGAACGGAAACAGAATTTCAAAATCATAACGTTCACCAAAATCTCCTTAACGCTGGTTTTTAGCGGTTCCCCACCGTCGCAATACAACAGCTGACTCTGGGATGGAAACCGTGGCTTTCGGGTTAGTAGCAGAGAAAGAGGTTAAAGTAATATTTATTCAAACCTCCTTGGTAGCAGCGCAGCACAACCATTGTATCACCGCGGCCACTGCCATGCAGCGAAAGAAAGCTGAACCTTGGGAAGTTGTTCACAAATTCCACGGTAGATGGCAAGCGCTGTCCAAGTGCGCTCGTAGCGCGGAAAATACGAATTGGCAACAAGTTGTTGCGCGTTGTCGTCTGCAGTATACGTCGGCAGTAACCTATAAGAGAGGTGAAGATTACACTATCAGACAGTTAGACTGGCGCTAGGTTGCACTATCGAATGATCTAGACGGCCCCTTTCGTGTAGTGCACACCGTCGAACATATTTTACGTTTGTTGCCGGGCCACTTGTTGATGAAGTTGATGTGTTTAATTTCCCTTGCTGTAATTATCGACGTTTGAGGTTAATTGAGTGTTCTCTGTATTATCAATTGTTATATCACGCCTTCCATACTTATAAAGTCTCACAAATTCGGGTTAACTATATGTTGAAATGTAAAAGCAAATAGAAATTGGAATTTTCATTTGTTTAGAAAAATATCCAACACTATATTAGAGGAGCCCACACACACACACTAAAAAGGTTGATGATAAAAAAACGCTATATTTTGTCTTTCGTGTCGCTTTTATTTATAATTTGCGTCTTTAAGAAGCACCGTTCCCGTGGCTGAAGAAAAACTGAAGTATATTGATTTTATTGGTTTATGACAATACATTATGACTGATTGATTGAACTGAAGTATATTGATTGAACTTGACTCGCCACCAACTTCAATGCACCACAAACGCGTTTCGAAGTTTCGAACTCGCTGTCTTTAGGTGGTGCCAAGGCAGCACAAACGCACTGACGCATTTCAAACACGCTGCAGTCAAGGAGCGTTTATGAATAGGGAGGGGGGGGGGGGCGGTATTATTTTTTTCTAGTGCTTGACATTGCATATTCTGGAATAACCAGCGATAACTATCTCGGTATTCTATTTAGATGATATGTATGTTCATGTCATTTGTAACACCTTTTACGCTCTTATTCTTTAATTCCTCTAATATGTCTTTTCTTGTGTATAACATTTTCGTTGTCCAGTTTGATTTGCTTGCGTGTTATGTTCGTCGTGTACTGTACTAATACATATGCCACAACCTAATATTACTGACCATTTCTCTTATGTAAATCCTAGCTCGGTGGCCCTCCAGAGGAATTTTCGAAACACATGTAAGGTGCATCTCTAAGCTACAGCCGCCAACCCAAGTTCTTCGAAGCATGGCTAATAAAAGTTTTATCATAATCATAATCATTATTATCATCATCATCCGAAGAAAGCGACCATTTGGATGAAAGACTTCATTACCTTGTGTAAATTTAAATGTGACTCATAAACATGCATACATTTTAAAGCACTCTGTAACATTCTTTTAATAAATTTCGTTAACAGCAGCCATGAGACGTAATTAACACTGTACAAAATTTCTTGCAGTATTACTGAAGCAATCGTGCGTCATGCAGTGCGACCGATAAAAGAGATAAAAGAAGAAATTGCGCCTACAAAATGTTCTTTTCTGCCACAAAGACACGTTACCGGGCTAGGTTGCCATGCATTACACATAGCAGCGCAACACTGTAGCTACGGACCGAGAACACGCAAGCACAGCGATCACTTTTTACTAAAAGCCTCATTAAGGCGACAACCTTCCAAACGGCAAATTTGACCGTCGGCGGCCACCGACCCATGGGGTCGTCGAGTGATGAAGTCACACATGTCATCGACTCATCAATGTCATCAATAGTCGTCGAGTGATGACGTCTTGTATGACGTCAGCATGACGAAACAGATCACTAACCGATATTGTGACGTCATCGCAAAGTCACCAATTCTGGCGTGATGTCAAGTTACGTGACGCCAAACGACGCTGTCGTAGCGCCCTCCTTTGGGCCGCGAACAAAACCAGGGAGCGCGCGACCTGAAGAAAAAAAAATAAAAAATCACGCAACCTTTCGCTGAGGGAACCATTTGCAGATGCGACGCAGCGGGGAGATGGTGAGCGGCACCCACAGAACCTCGTCTACGTCGCCTTAGCCGGCTCACCAACATTCAGAACCCGTGCCTGACTAACGCTGCCGGTGACCGCTGCCGTGAACACTGCCGATGACCAACGCTGCCGGTGACCACGACTATAGCTCTTCTTAACAGCCCGTCGCTCGACGCACACGCCAGGGTCATCTAACGTGATCCCGTGCTAACCAAATCAGGCGCGCTCTGTCTCACGGATACGTGGAACGCTACAAGACAGACGATCAACGCCTAAGTAGTGATCGTGTCTACTGAGGATGCGCCTCATTGTTTTGCCCGCCCACTCGGGAGGGAGAGAGGGGAGCGTAGGAAATGGGAGAGGGATAGGGTACGCGCATGCGCAGCGGAAGGTGGGTGCCGCGAGAATGAGGGAAGGAAGGACACAGCCCCTAGCATAAGATTCATCGCATCTACAATGAAGACGACGCTTGGCAGTGACGCGTTAAGCCACGGTTCTTATTCATCGCTGCCTTATACATCTCCTGAGAAGAAAAAAAAAAAAGATGGTGTTTGCTTTCACACACAAGGAACCCTGTTATATATTTTGGGATCGCAAGAAAAAAAATTTAGTTGGAAGTTAGCGTTGTCTAAGCGATTTTTTTCTCATTTCTGGTTGTGCTGCGTTGCTCCGTGTATTGAGCAATTTCCTTTGTCTTGCTTCGCCAAGACCGTTACGTGTCCAGCTCGGCGATTTCGTCCCTAATGTTGCTCTTGGCACGCTCTTCGTATAATCTCCGGAAGGGCTCCGTTGAGAAGATGTTAGGAATCTGCAGAAAAGACCGAAGGACCTGCGAAATACCGACGTGAAAAAGACCATGCCATGTAAGATACCGTAGTATATGTCATGCATATCATGTTTATTATTTTGCGACTTTTAAGTTATTTTCATCACGCACTAATGCCACGCTATGCCAACTTTGGTTATGTCTAGTTATTGAGGTGTTCGTGAGAGGTCCAAGACCATGCCTAGTAAGTCATGAAGTACATATTACATGTATATCAGGAGTGTCGTTTTACGACCTGTCGTTTATGTACGTTATAAACTTATGCCATGCCATAACCAGTGTTAGTATAAATCAGGTTGACAAAATAGCCACGAGAGCACGAAATCATTGACGGATAGATAGATAGATAGATAGATAGATAGATAGATAGATAGACAGATAGATAGATAGATAGATAGATAGATAATAGATAGATAGATAGATAGATAGATAGATAGATAGATAGATAGATAGATAGATAGATAGATATATAGATAGATAGACAGACAGACAGACAGACAGACAGACAGATAGATAGATAGATAGATAGATAGATAGATAGATAGATAGATAGATAGATAGATAGATAGATAGACAGACAGACAGACAGACAGACAGACAGACAGACAGACGGTTGGCATTCAAAAACATTTGAGGCAATTAGTCCAAGCTCAAGGTTACTAAATTTTTATTCAGCTTTGTATCTATACTAAGGGTGTGCCAAGAATAACATTAAAGAATGAGTTGAATACGAATAGAATCTAGTACCAGCCGCAAATAGAACAGAATACGGAAGAAATTTCGAATAAGGGACAGCCGTTTTGAGCATAGCCAGACCAACTTAAAACTAATGTCCAAACTGTTATGCTAAATTGTAGATTGTAAGTGAACCTGCCACGGTGGTCTCGTGGCTAAGGCACTCGTCTGCTGACCCGCAGGTCGCAAGTTCGAATCCTGGCCACATTATCAATGGAGGCGAAAATGATCGAGGCCCGTGTGCTTGTGTTTAGGTGCACTCTAAAGAACCCCAGGTGGTCGAAATCAGCGGAGCCCTCCACTGCGGCGTCTCTCATATTTATATGGTGATTTTGGACGTAATTCCAACAGTTATTATTATTATTATTATTGTTGTTGTTGTTGTTGTTGTTGTTGTTGTTATTATTAGATGCGAAGCAGCTCTTTCACTAGCCTGTGTATCGCTGTCCCTCCGTCCGCACCGCTCCCCTAGCCGCAGCTGGTGGAGCGGTGCCAAGTAGCTCCCGCCCTACTAGCAGAGCGTGGTCTCTCTTCCTCAGCTGCCACGCGCTCACCACGTGTCAGCTTTCTTTCGTTTCACCCTCTCCACCACTCAAGACACTCGAGCCCACTCCTCACCAAGGCATCATCTCACCTGCGCCACCTCTCTCCATCTGTCGGCGCGAAGCAGAATGCGAGCCGGTGGGTGCGCGTGCTGCGATCACCTGGCGATTGCGCCGACAGGCGGGACGCCGTCGCAGAATGCTTCTAGCGCGTTCACACTTGAGAGTAAAAAAAAAAGAAAAACGAAAACGCCAGAGTGGCCGTAAAACCCCGACCGCGCGCGTTGAAGATGTTCACATTAGTTCTGCTCCATCCCGCCGCTGCTGCCATCGACACTTTGACCGTTAATTCGATTGCACCAGCTTTCTGAGAACTACAGTTCGTACCGAATTCTAGTTATTCATGCAAAGTAATGAAAAGAAACAGCTCGCACCTTTTCAAACGTTGTTTTAGGAGATAAGCCAGCAAAAACGACACGAGCGATAGCTCCGGCAGCGCATTCAGCTGGCTGTACACAAACGCGAGACACGTTGGGGCATGCCGACTCGCTGCTGCTGCACCGTCTACTTCCAGAGTTATCGGCGATCGTAATCCAAGTCTGGCTCTCGATGAACGCTTCCTCGTAGAGGCCATCAATCTTCGTCGTGCTGCACGGATAGTTTGCGATTTCAGTCGATGCGAGGCGCCGCCGACGCCTGTGCCGCCATGTTGAATCTGCGGCCGGTTGGTTAGGTCACGTGGTTTGATCTAGCGCAGCCAAGGCTGTGAAGCGGAAACCGGATCCGGTTTCGAATGGCGGGAAAATCGCGCTCGGACCGATTTTTGCGCGCCGGCCACGCGGCGGGGTTTTCCGGCCGCTTGCGCGGCGAAACGAGCCAGTTTCCGGAGAGTTTCGCCGGTTTCGCTCTCTTTCGAGGCCAAGTGTGAACGCGCCTTTCTCGCTAGTGTGCGCGCACTTTTCTCGGCTGTCGCTGGCGATGCGAGGGTTAGTGAAACCGATCGCGTTCGCGAATAGTGACGTCAACATTGTCGAGGCGCGAGCCGGGGAAGCCGAACGCAAGCGTCGGCAGTGGAAGACCAGCGACACCGACGAGGTGCGAGTCAAGAACACCGATCGCATTCGAGAATACAGATGGCACGCGGGTTAACACCTGACGCGAGCCGAGGAAGCCGGGCGCAAGCGTATTCAACGCGTCCCGCCTCCCGTGTCCTTGCGTTTCAAACAATCGTTTACTCGAGCAAACGCTACACCGAGTTTCGCTTCAAACCGTTCTTCTACTACCCGCATCGACGCCCATTTTAACCGGACCGGGTCAATGCCGTGCGCACTGCTGCTGCTTCAATTCCAATCAGGATTCCCCCCGGGAAATGGGTTCATAGTTTATTATTATTATTATTATTATTATTATTATTATTATTATTATTATTATTATTATTATTATTATATTGTAGGTGCTGTGGACTTGTTACGCTTGAAGTCTTCGACCCTGCGTGCTCTTATTTAGATACTTCTTAGGGATAACGAGTAGTCGGCAACCTACTTGTGCGCCAACGTGTCTCTACACCACGTCAATAAAAAAAAAAAAAGGGCAGGACAGGCCCCACTTTGATGATGAAAGCGCACCATCCGGTTGCCTCTTCCACTGAAGTCTCACTGATGAGGTCGGCAATGTTCTCCACTGGCAGAGTCAACAGCCGTTCTGCTCATGACGTCAGCCTAGAGTCCAGGCTCATTGTTGCACATATTTTCATTGACGCAGTACCACGCAATGAAGACACTAGCCTTGTTCGAAAAACAAGCATTGTCGTCTGTCTAGGTTGCTTGTTGTCGAAATTATTGTGTGTCACAAAATATTTCAACTCAACGGGGGAAATATACTGTGCCCTGTAAAATCGAACCATTAGCGACATCCGACGTACGCAACATTCAAATTACCTTCGAGCGAAGGCTTTTGTAGATGGCGTCGGGAACAAAACTGTATTCCAGGCGCACTTTTTCCGTGTAGTCTTTGTATTCTGCAAAAAAGCAAGAGAGAGATTGAAAAAGAAGTAGTCATTCTTTGTAACACCTAATTGTCCTTATCGCTTCGAAACGATAGAGTCATTACACAATAGGTCAATGTTATTCTGTTCATAATCATATGTTCAACCGCGCAGCTACTAGTGGCAGGCAGTCCACACTCCTCTTTACATACGGCAGTGTGCGAACAAAGTGTCCGCTTCCACCTGCCGTGAGGGGGACGGGAATATCAAATGTGCTCATTGGAATGTACCCTTTAACAGTAGACCATACTCTACACATGTACAGATGCAGTCGGAAACACATACATATACAGGGCACCCCACAAACCTGTACACTTGCCCCCCATACCCCATCGAAAATTCTGGTATGCCCTCGTACACATGGCCGCAATGAAAACGCTCTGTCGGAGCTCTACAAATTTTTTTTTTTTACGCTTTGCGTAAATGGCCACTAAAACAAATAGCTATTTATGTCAGAGCGAAAGCTGAATGCTTGAGAACGTTAAACTCAGCAGCTCGTTAATATTTGAGAGAATAAGTGTAGGAAACCGCTTGCGCAATCACTGGTACATTCTGGAACGTAAGCCTGGTGTCGTAATAGGGACTCGGTGCAATTAACCATATGTACTCAAACCACTCTCAAGAAAACGAAAATTCAAATTTTACTGCTTAATAAGACCGTAAAAAAATAAAATTGTCTATTTCATTCTTAGTCATGGTCCGCAAAAGCTGAATGCTCCGTCGCGCCCCGACTGACGAGCCATATTGGCGGGCGAAAGCGATGTTAGAAGGCCGTTATTGGAGGCGGGTGGTTTGAATTGCGCTAACGATATGCGCACCGCTAAAACGTGTTTTTTTTAACCTAAGCATTTCCTTCACAAGAAACGAGTACAACAAGACTTCCAAAACGCTATTTCAACAATTAACGTCGAGTTGACATTTTCTTTCAGAGTCTCTTTGGCAACCTATGCGAAAGCGAGTCTGAGTTGACAAGCCTTCTCAAAGGGGTACTGACACAAAATTTCGAGGCCGAGATAGCCTGCGGGGTCGGTTCTCGTGAACAATTGTATATCATCTGCAAGATATCAACAGCGAATATTGCTTGGAAGGTATTTCAAATTCATTTTGAAGTTTGCGTGAGCGACCGACTCGATAGCGCTATAGACACCATCGGAGGTGACCCCCTACTTCCCTCCCGTCACCACCCAACGGTCAACAAAACAAGTTATCCTGACGTCAAAGCCGCCATTTTTCTTTTGCCGCGTTAGTTCCCGCAGTCTATATTTCTGGGCGGCTGTTTGCGAGTGCGTGGCCGTGGCGCACGCTTAGCAAGTTTTGTGTTTGGCGACATTCCAGTGCCGTTTTCTATTCGAAAGTAATTCTTTATGCGGGATGTGCGGAAGTGCGTCACAGTTTTGTGTGCTGACGTGGTCTAACACCAGCATGTCTTTTCATCTGAGAATTGAAAGTTAATGTCAAGAAATCTGAGCCTTCCGTCACATGGCATTTCAAAAGTCACTTCAAGTGGGTTAAGCCCCTCACGAAAAACGCTACACACGCTACTACATTGAGTAGCAAAATCTGCAGTTCTGTCATTGATAAACACTAAAAAGTCATCGACGTACCTAAATACGTGCACAACATTGTATTCATTTAGGCGTCCTGATAGCCTCCTGTCCATTTCAGCCAAAAACAAATTACTTAAAACTGGTGCTAAGCACGAGCCAATGCATACTCCTTGTTTTTGCAGATACAGGGTACCATTGTTTTCAATAAACGTTGACGACAAGTAAAACCTAAGTAATTCTAAGAAATTGTCGACGGACGTACCTGCTTGTGAGCTAAATCTAACGGCACCGTACTCATCGATGCATTCGCCAACACTTGTTAATACTGCTGATTGTGGCAGAGAATAGTACAGATCTTTTATGTCAGCCGAAAACGCTTTTAACCCTATGTTTTTTCGTTCCCTGACGAAACTTATCACCTGTTCCGAATTTTTTGTCAGGAAGGGGTCATTTATGTCAAGCAAGTTTAATGTTCTTTGCAGATACACAGCTACAGCTTTTTGCCACGTGTCCTTCTCCGACACTATCACTCTGAACGGTACTCCTTCCTTATGCGTTTTAGCACTAAAGAACACATCCAGACTGTCATTTTTACTTTTTCTGATACCGCTAAGCACACCTTCTAGATTCATCCTCTTACAAAGTTCTATTGCTTTTCCCCTCACTTTTTCAATCGAAATACTTTTCTTTTCGCTGAACACTGCCGTAATAGCACTTTTAGCCTTTTCTTTAAATTCATCATGCGAGAAAACCGCAAACCCTCCTTCTTTATCGACTGGAAGTACACTCAGAGCATGCTGTGTCAAGTAAGTTTCCACGCGTTTGAGAGGCAAACTGCGGCATGGAGGCCTACACAATTTTAAAGCACAAGGCACTTATCATTGCGGATTCAGCGTGCGACATCGTCAACATGTTCGTGCGGCCAAAGACGACGAGGATGCGCATGTTTGTTGTTCGACTGTTGCAACCGCATCACACATAGGCAGAAACTTGAAGTCGCTGAAATCTGAACGAACGCTCTCGTTGGCGTATATACTAAAGTCCCCTGGCCCTCGCGGCTAAATCGTCTAAAGGCGATGTAAGCGCTTCGACCTTTTTTTTTTCTTTCTTTCATGGGTCTTTTTTTTTTTTTTGGAGACACTAATATTTGCGATGAATTAAGAGCGAACTACATTGAAAGTATGTTCTGGAATCGTAATGGTAGCTGTTCAAATGAAAATGTTTAAGCTTTGCAATTTTTGGACTGTGTATACGTATATGTATATTTTTGTTTTTTTTAATTCTTTAACCTTAATAGCCAAGTGAAAAATGACAACCATCGTCAAGCAATGGAGACAAGAACTCCTGCATTAATTTTGTTACTTCAATAAAAAAATGGCGCACACCCGCTTCTAGTTTGCTCAATAATTTGAGTGACCATCACGTCTGTTAATTATGATTTTTAAAAGTATGCTATAGCCCTCGCAGCACGTACATAGCAGATAGAAACAAAAAGCGCACAAAATACGCATATCGAGAATAGGCTTGAGATAAACCAATACTGCCTTACAGCATGATGATGGATGGTAGCGCAGACAACGAACACGGACAAGAGAAGGCACATAGACACAACACAGCGCTAACTTTCAACAACAGTTTATTACACGCAGATCTCCGTGGTGTATGCGATCCACCACGCCAACGTCGCACGTGCGTAGCTCTAAAAACCATCAAATATAACCAACGCGCGTGTTCCAATACTTTACAATTTTATATTTTTCAATCTTTTTCTACTTTTTCTTTCTTCCTTTTATCCCATGTTACCACAAACCCTATCGCGAATACATGTAATCAAGTTCCTTATCTGTCAACACCACTGATGGGCTGCTCACACACGTGTCACCTAGCTCTGCAATTCTGCCGGCCTCCAATACCAACCGCGTCATCTCGTGCCTACTTCTATTGATTATAACCGTTTCCTTGAATTTCGGTGTGCAATTACATCTCTGGCAATGAAGGGAAAGAAAACCATCAGGAACAACACTATTTACTTTGTTATTGTGCTCGCGCAAGCGATCGTTTATGCATCTACTGGTCTGACCGATATAACACTTTCCACAAGTAAGTGGAATGAGGTATACAACACACATGATGCACTCCACAAATAGGTTTCTATGTTTCTTTTGGCATACATTTGATTTTCCCTTGTCTGGTCTTGTGCTTCTGCAAAGACTCACCAACTTATTGGGTGCCGAGAAAACTACGTTAGTGCCACATTTTTCCGCAATCTTTTTTATCCTGTGAGAAACCTTATGCATGTATGGAATTACGGCAAAACTTTCCTTTCTTGAGCTCACCCTATCCATCCCTTCACATCTTTTCTCCAGCACTTTTCTGTGCAATCCTTCAGCAACGGACACGACGAGGCTCTTGGGGTACCCGGCATTGCTTAGCCTCGAGACCTGTTGTCTGAAGCTTTCATTCATGAGGCACCGGCAGGACTTCTTTAGTGCCTCACTCAAGCACATCTTCGCAATGCCTCGTTTTACCAGTTTAGTATGCGCTGAGTGAAACTGTAGTAAAGGCTTACTTGCTCTGGGCTCGTAACACCAGCATGTCTTTTCATCTGAGAATTGAAAGTTAATGTCAAGAAATCTGAGCCTTCCGTCACATGGCATTTCAAAAGTCACTTCAAGTGGGTTAAGCCCCTCACGAAAAACGCTACACACGCTACTACATTGAGTAGCAAAATCTGCAGTTCTGTCATTGATAAACACTAAAAAGTCATCGACGTACCTAAATACGTGCACAACATTGTATTCATTTAGGCGTCCTGATAGCCTCCTGTCCATTTCAGCCAAAAACAAATTACTTAAAACTGGTGCTAAGCACGAGCCAATGCATACTCCTTGTTTTTGCAGATACAGGGTACCATTGTTTTCAATAAACGTTGACGACAAGTAAAACCTAAGTAATTCTAAGAAATTGTCGACGGACGTACCTGCTTGTGAGCTAAATCTAACGGCACCGTACTCATCGATGCATTCGCCAACACTTGTTAATACTGCTGATTGTGGCAGAGAATAGTACAGATCTTTTATGTCAGCCGAAAACGCTTTTAACCCTATGTTTTTTCGTTCCCTGACGAAACTTATCACCTGTTCCGAATTTTTTGTCAGGAAGGGGTCATTTATGTCAAGCAAGTTTAATGTTCTTTGCAGATACACAGCTACAGCTTTTTGCCACGTGTCCTTCTCCGACACTATCACTCTGAACGGTACTCCTTCCTTATGCGTTTTAGCACTAAAGAACACATCCAGACTGTCATTTTTACTTTTTCTGATACCGCTAAGCACACCTTCTAGATTCATCCTCTTACAAAGTTCTATTGCTTTTCCCCTCACTTTTTCAATCGAAATACTTTTCTTTTCGCTGCACACTGCCGTAATAGCACTTTTAGCCTTTTCTTTAAATTCATCATGCGAGAAAACCGCAAACCCTCCTTCTTTATCGACTGGAAGTACACTCAGAGCATGCTGTGTCAAGTAAGTTTCCACGCGTTTGAGAGGCAAACTGCGGCATGGAGGCCTACACAATTTTAAAGCGTCCACACCTTCGTTGATGATCCTGGTGGCTTGATCCTCGGGAACCCGCTTC